GATCACCTCCATGTCACCCACAGTCGGATGCCCAACTCGTCGTTTCTCCTCTAGGTTCCTACGCAAGCGCCTAACACATGACACTTATAATTAGTTAATCTAAAATAAAACAAATTCGAAAATATACTTACTTGAATTAAACGTATAGTACAACCTAATAAACGATCTGTATCTGTTTGCATTTCAATCGGCAATTGTAAACGTGATAAATGAGCTTGTAATAATAAATTAGCTTTAACATGTGGACTTGAAAATTTAGCTTTTGGTGCTAATTTCTGTGGAACTTTTGCAGCTAACTGACGTAATAATATATCTTCATGATGTCGAACTGGTAATAAAATATCAAATTCTGCTGCATTACTAATCACATCTAATAATCCACGAATTTTCATTTTAGCTGTTAATGATAAACTGAATAATTCTAAAGAAAAGAAAAAAAAAAGAGAAATACAAAAAATAACTTAAATTCACCAAATAAGCTTATTACTGCCTACTGTAGTGGGCACTGTTGATAAAAATGGATATAAATAGTATATGTCGAGAGGGCAGCAGAAACCATGGGGAATTACCAGCAATGGGTAACGATTCTGCCCAGAGAAACGCAAGAGATAATGATGGTGTATCAAGAACAAATCAAGATAGAAGCAGAAGAAGAAATGAAGCATATGATGCAAACGACTGTCTTAGTGGAAAGGTGCACAATATTTGATGACATGACTACTGTACAAGACATCAGTAATAAAGATTCCTTCCTTCCTCTGTCTTGTCGTGTCCTACACTAGGTAAAGAAGGTAAGTTAACCGACGAAGTTGTTAACCTTCTGAGGTGGCTTAGGTATGTTGTGTATGCCAAACCATCACCTACCTCAACGTACAATGTTGTTGGTTGAAGTAGGATCGGGCTAGAAGAACGCCAAAGCTGGTTAGTCTAAGGCTTGGCTACAGTCCATGAAGTTTTCGATTGTTTATCTCAGCCATGTTGGCTACCTGCCTGAGGTGGTCAAATCGGTAGGAATCAGTGTTTAAAAACTAAGTAATGTGGCTAGAAATTCGGCACAGCAATGCAGGTGCATGCAATTTGTCATTTTCGAAGTCTTAAATATCTTTATTGACCTACATATGTTGATTGTGTCAACTCACACACTTTTATCCATTTTATTAGCACTCCTCTGTTCACTTGTTATGCATTTACATGTTACTGTGAAGTGTGGCAAATTGTACCAATGCACTTGTATGCCAAGTTCTACATATTTTGTCGGTCTACTATACCAAGATGTCAATAATAAACATACCTTTCTGTGTCTCATTCTTTTTGTTTCGTACACTACTACTTATACATTTTGCTACGTGAATATATCAGAAGCATGTCAAGATTTATGGTCACCTTTTGTAGATAAAATGAAAAATTTAACATCTCCCTAAAATCTTTTCCATGAAGCAAGAAAACCTTAGTTATCAGTAATAATAATAATAATAACAATAATAATAATAGGGGAAGTGTTATATCCTATGTGCTTGACCTCACAGTCATCACATGGAATTTGACAGATTAGATTATTTTACTAAATTGGTTCTATCGAATACTTAAGCCAGGCGACGAAGGTTATCTCTGAGTGAGTTTGTAGGTTTGAATGCCACCCGCATTCCAGCTTTGCTGAGCATCCTATGTAAAGTTTCTGATGTACCCTCCTTATGAGGTATCATAATGGAGGCTATGAACTCCTTTTTACTTGTGTTACTGGTGTTATTTCGTTTCTTATGTTTGTACGAATTTCTTAATAAACTGTAGGGGATAATCATTAACTATGAATGCTTCTTTTACGTGCTTCAGTTCCTTGTTTAGGTCCTTGCACTGATAAGTCAGTTTTCTAGCTCTATCATTTAGACATTTGACTAAACCTGCCTTAATTGACATTGGATGGGATGACTTGGAATGTTTCGGTTTTCTGTAGACGGTAGTATCCAAACCACAGTCCGTCCTTCGTTTTACCATGCAACCCAACATAGGTAATCCCTTGGTTCATTTTCTACCTCATAAGTGAATTGGACTGCGCCTACTACTGAGTTTACATGTGTGAGGAAATTGTCGATATGTTCCGATTTCAACACAGTAGTAAATGTGTCATCCACATATTATTGTCACCATATCTTAGATGCTGGACTGATTGTTTGTAAAGTCATGTTTTCCTAACTATCCATAAATAATTCTGCCACGATTGGGGATATTGGCGATTCCGTTGTTACTCCTTCTGTTTGTCTGTATATTTTGTCTTGAAACTTGAAGACTGTGGAGGTCAGGCACAACTGTACGTCTAATATGATCTCATCAACCGATATCCTAGTTCTGTGAGTAAGTTTTGAGTCAATATTTAGTTGACTTCTGATTGCTTCCAGTGCCATGTTGATTGATATTTTAGTATAATAATAATATCGAAACAGAAAGATGAAAAGAAAAAAGGAAGGAGGAGGGGGATTAGAGGAGACTGAAAACTAAGACCACAGTACACAGTTCAGGTGGATGGTGGATGGCAACAGCTTTGGTGATGCAGAGAATACGAAGACATACAGCCTTTGGAAGATTTCTTTTCAGTCTGTAGAAAACTTCGAACGAGGAGATTCTTGAGATAGCGTGATTTGTGTTCACGATGTGTTCAATTATCGCACTCCTTATGATTCCATTGTTACCTCTTTGTAACCACACAGGATAGTGTTCTTGAACCCTTTTGGATAACACTCGTGTCGAACGACCTATATACCTGGCTACACAAGAGTAGGTGGATTGATATTATGCACATAGAAGTGCTCAGATGCGAAAGTTTCTCTTTTGAGTTGTTAGAAAACGTTGGCCGACAAGAGAATACTAGTCTCAGTGTTGATGCAAAGAATGTTCTCCTGAAGTAGGATCAGCCCTGGTGTCTCGGTGGCCGATGAAATCTCTGCACGGATACAAAAGGCTCAATTGGCTTTTGCCAATTTGCACCACCTATGGCGCCGCCGTGATATTCGTTTGTCTATTAAGGGTCGCGTGTACTGCACAGTAGTCCGGTCTGTCCTGCTGTATGGCTGTGAAACATGGCCATTGAAAGTGGAGGATACAAAAAGGCTTCAGGTGTTTGACCACCGTTGCCTTCGTAGTATAGGACGTATTCTGTGGTGTCACCATGTGAGTGAGTAATGCAGAAGTCAGGTGTAGAGTTTTGGGGAGAAGAGGTAAGTCAGTCAACGAGGTTGTGAACCTTCATCAACTGAGATGGTTGGGACACGTACTACGTATGCCTAGTCACCGATTGCCTCGTCACACAATGTTGGCTGAGGTGGGTCCAGGCTGGAAAAAGGCCCGAGGTGGCCAGACTAAAACATGGCACCAATGTATGAAATCTCTGACTGTTGGTTTAAGCCATGTACGACGATGCAGACTAGGTGGTTGGGGTCCACGGGACAAGAGGAACCAGTGGTTGGAGACCCTAGGTGATATGGCTGAGAACCGAAGTCAGTGGCGCAGATGTATACACACATTATCCTCATCTTAACAACGCTATACCGAATCTCACCATTTTGTCACTCCTCTCTCTTTTCTTTTCGTACTTTATATTTCTTTTGACTGTATTCACTTATCTTCATCCTTCGCCTCACTACCTTTTTACTTGATGTGCTGATATGAGGTGTGGCAACTCGGACCGTTACGCAGTAATGCCTGGTCCTATGTTGATAATGGTGATGATGATGATGTTCTCCTTAGAGTGTTTGTTAACCTCTCGGCCGCAGAATCGCCTTTGAGGTTTACATTCATAAAGAGTGTCTTTTTTGGTACGATGGTAAGGTTCTCTTTGTGAGATTTAGGTTTGATGTGTTTGTCTATGAAGCGTGGTGGGAATCCGTTTTCAATCAGGATGTTCTTTAGAACAGAAATTTGTTCTTCTAATATATCGGGACTGCAGCTTGGTCTAATGCGAGTCGCAAGAGATACAATTAGATTTCGCTTACGATTCGTAGGGACCCAGGTATTAAAGTTCGTCAGTTGACCATTCCACATTGGTTTTCTGTGAATTGACCTACTTAACGTTCCATCAGAAGTTCTTGTCACCTCTACACCGAGAAAGTGAATTTTCGACCTCAAGGATGAATCTAATTGTTGAGTGGCAGTTATTTAATATTTGTAGAACATGATTCAAATCATATTGATGATCACAGATAACAAAAATATCGTCCATGCACCTTTTGTACAAATGAAAATCTTCAATCGTTGATTTCAAGGGTCCATTCTCCAGACTGGCTATAAAGGAGTCTGTTAGTAGTGGACCTAGGGGGGATCCTATGGAGATTCTACCTTTCAGATTGACAATCACACTTTTTTTCCTTGTTTACCCAAGCAAAAGGTTCGACTGGCTTTTACCAACCTACGTCACCTATAAAGCCGCCGCCGTGATATCCGATTGTCTATTAAGGGTTGCGCCTACGGCACCTTCACAACAGTCCACTATGTTCTACTGTATCACTGTGAAACATAGCCATTCAAGGTAGAAGACATGAGAAGGCTTCAAGTGTTTGACTACCGTTACCTTCGTAGTGTAGGCTGTATTCCGTGGTATCACCACGTGAGTAACGCACAAGTCAGGTGTAGAGTTTTAGGGAGTTAGAAGTGAGTCAGTTGACACGGTTGTTGTGAACCTTCATTGACTGAGATGGTTGCGACATGTGTTACATATGACTAGTCGCAGTCTGCCTCATCGCACAATGTTGGTCGAAGTAGGTTCAAGCTGGAAGAAGATCCGAGGTGGCTAGACTAAAACATGGTATCAATGTATGAAGTCTCTGACTGTTGATTTGAGCCATGTGGGGCAATGTAGACTGAGTTGTTGGGGGTGTGCAGGACAAGAGGAACCAGTGGTTGGAGATTCTAGGTGATCACGTGATCACGCAGATGTATCCGCACACATTATCCTCACCTTAAGAACTCTATACTGAATCTCACCATTTTCTCATTCTTCCTTTCTCTCTTTTCGTACTTTATATTTATTTTGATTGAACTATCTTTTCTTTATCTTGCGCCTTACTGCCTTTTTACTTGGTGTAGTGATATGAAGTGTGGTAACTCGAACCGTTACGCCGTAATACCTGGTCCTGTGTTGATATTAATGATGATCACCCAAGTATATAATACAGTGATTTTTAGGGTTAACAAGTTTTTAAAATATTTCACGAAACAGTTACTGTAAACTGACAGTGTACCCAGTACAACTTTCAACTTATCTAGCAAATCTTAAGGATGGAGTAAATATGAAGCGATAACTGTAGTCAATACAAAAATCCTTAATACATAATGAAGACAATATACAAATGAATAATAAAACTGTATACAATAGACTACTTACCTATAGTATTATATTGAATATAATAGTAAGCTGATATCATACCAAGATTTAATGGTGACAAATCAATACCATCTTCTACAGCAATACACTTTGATGTCTCTAAATCATTCAATGTTGTCTCAACTAGTTCACTTAAATGATCACTTAAATGTCGATGTGTTACACCCTAAATGAGGAGAAAGAAAATTTATAAAAATCACAAGTTTATGAAATTAGTATGACAATAGGTGTCACCATGTGAGTGAGTAATGCAGAAGTCAGGTGTAGAGTTTTGGGGAGAAGAGGTAAGTCAGTCGACGAGGTTGTGAACCTTCATCAACTGAGATGGTTGGGACACGTACTACGTATGCGTAGTCACCGATTGCCTCGTCACACAATGTTGGCTGAGGTGGGTCCAGGCTGGAAAAAGGCCCGAGGTGGCCAGACTAAAACATGGCACCAATGTATGAAGTCTCTGACTGTTGGTTTAAGCCATGTACGACGATGCAGACTAGGTGGTTGGGGTCCACGGGACAAGAGGAGCCAGTGGTTGCAGACCCTAGGTGATATGGCTCAGAACCGAAGTCAGTGGCGCAGATGTATACACACACATTATCCTCATCTTAACAATGCTATACCGAATCTCACTATTTTGTCACTCCTCTTTCCTTTCTTCTCGTACTTTATATTTCTTTTGACTGCATTCACTTATCTTCATCCTTCACCTCACTACCTTTTTACTTGATGTGCTGATATGAGGTGTGGCAACTCGGACCGTTACGCAGTAATGCCTGGTCCTATGTTGATAATGATGATGATGATGTATGACAATAGGAATACGTGTTTAAAATGTTACAGTTTCTATTGACTCAGTTATCTAGATGATACTTACAAAAGCAGTATAGACTTAAACGTTAAGAAGATCATGAAAACTATTGGCTTTCAAAAACAACACCAATAATGATGATAAGCTGAGAAAATGAAAATCAGTCGTATAGACATCATATCTGTTCAATTCTATGCTACTTACTATACAGTAACAAGAAATAATTCATATAATTTGCCTAAGAATCAATTTTTGAATAACATCTCCGTACTATTATTACAAGAGCACAGATTACATTAAAAGAAATGGTATAGCCAAGACAATTACAAGATTTGATTTCCATGAAATGATGTATACAATATAATCAGTTATGCATTCTCTTCCTTATACACTAAAGGAATAATTTCTTCACATAATAAACAGGGAGTTTTTATGATTCAAGTTTCTAAACTTGATTTATACACCATAGTAAAGATAACATAATGAAAATTGAATTTGTCTACTAAATTCAACCTATCAATCCGGGTTATGAGCAGACAACATATTGCCTATTACTGATGTTAACTTTTCTTAGACAAATACCTTCAATCTAAGTGTACTTAGTATTCATAAGTATGGTATATGTTTTGTACCATTAAAGTGCAAAGTACTCTTGTAAGATTGGCAGGAGTCTGTATCTGAGCTCACCCTTGGTGGTGAGTCGTTGAAAGTAGTCGAAAATTTTGTGTATCAGGGTAGTTGTGTGAGTGGTGAAATTTCTAACAGCATATCGAAAGCCATACTGGCATATGTCAATCTGGGCCACCTTTGGCACTGTTAGTCTGACTGTAAAACATCGAATTCACAACGCTTCGGTATGAGCAATTCTGCTCTACGCCTCTGTGAAACTTGGCCTCTCCAAGCTAACCTATCTCCGATAACTCTGAGTGTTCGACCACCGTTATCTCCATAGGATTGCTCGTATGCAGTGACAACACCATGTAAGTAATTCTGAGGTACGATAGTGTGTGTTTACGCATAACAGAGATCATCATTCAATAAATGAAATCATCTGGAAACACTGGTTTCGGTGGCTTGGACATGTTTTACGCATATCGTCCTAACGGCTTCTACGACGTTCATTGTTTGCTAACCATAGGACTGGATAGAAGAAGTGGAGAGGTGGTCAGTGTATGACGCAGCACCGTAGGATGAAGGGTAGTTGTATTGGGTTAGCATTTGCTAGTCCAACACGACTCTCTGGGTAAGGTTCGATAGATCAAGCAACTCAGTGGCTCAGAAATGAAACCAGTGGCGGTCATAATGTTGTTATATCACCTTGTGTAGTGCATTTTTAAGTCGCATTGCTATATATGTTTGTTTTCTAATAAACAGAAAATAATTGGATAAGGCTATCGAAACCAATTAATCTCTTCATACACGCTCTATCTTTGAGGATACATTATTACCAGCCCAGTGCTATGCAGTACTACTAATGGTACCATTAGTGCATAATTTAACTTTCGAATAACAAATGAAAATATTAAAAATTTACCTGTAAATTATAATAATTTGGATTCTGTGTCATACGTTGATACAGAAAAGTCCAGGTTAAATAATCCACAGCATCTTGTTTATTTTCAATCGTTTTAGTGACAACTTCAGCATTGAAATGGTCATGTAGTGCATGATCTAAATGTGATTCAACTGGTAATGGATCATGAAGAAATTTTTTTAAGAATTCTTTCTTTCCTGCTTGACATAATACAACAGCTTTAGCTTCACTATCAATATTAGGTCGATTTGCATGACCTAATATTTCAATCAGATCAACTATTGGATAATCTTCGTATGCATGAATCTTACCATTGTAATCTTGTGTATCCATAACAATTACAAGGTAAGCTGATAGAGGATTCGGTGAAGCTGCAGCCCATATAAGAGCATGAGATACAACTAAGGTATGCAATGCACCTGCAGCGAATAAAACTTCAATCAATCGACGATCCGGTTTTGATATAGCTTCATGCAAATAAGCTATACCACCACCATGACGAATAACTTCAGCTAATGCTTTATCTGCTAATTGATCAGCAGCACGAGAAAGAGCCTCTTCTAAATGTCCTGAAATAGCTTGAAATTTCGAGGAGGATATTGCATTACTAGCAGTAAACATTGTTATCAAATCAAGTGCAGCGCGTTGGGCTTGACGTCGAGTTGGAACATAAACCAAAGTCGGTTTACGCTGAGAATGCTGTAAACTGCCTGTAGGACTTGGAACAAACGCCAAACGTGTTATCAGTTGATAAACAGGTTTAGTCATTGCTAAAAGACGAGATGCTTGATGTGGAATATTGAATGGCATAACAGTTAATTCTAATGGAATTGGTCTAGTAGTAGGAGGAAAGTTGTATGTTGCACCAGAAGTACAACCAAGCCAACTGGCAACATCACGACCATTCGTAAGACTATGAGATAAGCCAATTATACGAATCGGATTATCCACTTGACTACTGATATAACGCATTCTTGAACAGACTACTTCAAGTATTGATCCACCTTCAGAACCAATTAAGTGTAAATTGTCTGCAATAAATAAATTAACATTTTGTACATTTTTACGCTGTTTCCATCGTCTAGAGAGAACATCCCAATGTTCTGGTGTAGTAACGATTATCTGTAATAGAGAAGACAAGATAATCCAATATTAAGACATAGGATTTATCAAGTAAACCTAGTTTAATTAGCATCAAGAGGGGAATTTTAGAGTGAATTTTTAACATACCTTGAACAAATTCAAAAAGACTACTGAAATTTATTAAAATCCTAGTTAGTAGTATTTCTGTCAGTATGGTAAGATAGTGACATTCAAAGCGAAAAAAAGTTCTCTCAAATGGTAGTTGACAAGAGAAACATAGAAGGATAATTGGCACTACATAAGGAGTCAACTTGAGCTGACGATACTAATAGTTAAGATCTAGTTCGCTTCAAAGATTGATATATATTCAACCCAAAAAGCCTAAATGCTCCAGAATCACTGCAGTTGAAAGGTGTGTTGACACCTAGTCTGGTCATGATGAAGAATCTGTTCATTGCTTTGAACACCTTACTTGATTAACAATTCGAATTGGCGCGTCACGGAAAGCACTTCCAACTAACTGCAGACATACATCGTCAACAGCTACCGCCTATGCTCACTCGATACTGAAGATCAGATCAGTAGGCCAGAAAAAATAACCAACCAGGAACTCCAGTGTGACAACGAACCAACCAAGAACCTATCGCCCAACAAATATGCAGAAAGTGGAGTTGGATTGGACATACACTGAGAAGACCGTTTGGGGACATTACGCGACAGGCCAGACTGTCGAGTGGAACCCAAATGGCAAACGACGAGTTGGTTGATGGTGTCCAAGGGTGACATGTAGGAGATTGTGTGGGGAAGAAATGAAAGCTTATGGGCAGTTGTGGAGCCAGGTTCAAAAGACTGGAGAGAAGAGAGTGAAATGGAGACGTGCTACTGAAGTCGTATGTTCCACTAGGAACCCAAGGGACAGATAATAATAATAATAATAATAATAATAATAATAATAATAATAATAATAATAATAATGCTGTTCTGATAGCTGACAAAATCTTGACATAGATACGAACAACTCAATCGGCATTCACTAGCCTCGGTGGCACATTCGACACATATACTGTACACCAATTACCTTTAATATACTGAATAAATGTGAAGCATAGTAACTGATGATGACTTCAGGTATCTGACCATTGTGACTACAACTACATCGCACAGAAATGAGCTAACATAGGACTACAAAGAGGGCAACAGCGAAAGTAGACATAGAATTTTAAATCAGTTGGTGAGTTTGGAAACCATGAACTAAACAGTAAAATTACTATCTCATGAACCAGGTATGGCTTCATCTCCATTGAATCCTAGCCCTCCCTACTTTTCAAGGTAAACTTACAGGATCAAAGTGTAAGCTGCTAGTTCGAGACGTCGAATCTTAATTAAGTGTCCAAACCCACTTCAGTTTGAAGCAATGGGTACTGCCTTCGATTCTCAGGGGGAACAACACTCATTGGGATGCACATGCATCCAGCTGACGAATCACAGACAAGACAAAACGCGTGCTAGTGAATAAGTAGACCATAACATAGTGGAATATTCGGGCAGAATCGAGGAATCCGTATAAGAACCTATCTATCAACAAAAGTTAAGCGATTCGGGAATACATACGTTCAATCACCATCTACCTTATCGTACAATGTTGGCCGAGGTAGGTTCAGATTGGAAAAAAGCTACGGATAGCCAGATTAAAACATATAGCATCAACGTATGACGTCTCTGATTGTTCGTTTCATTCATGTAGAGCGATGCAGACCAGCCGGTTACAGTCCACAGGACAGGAGAAACCAGTGGTTGCATACTCTACGTGATCATATAACTCAGAATCTATGTCAGTGGCGCAGATGCATACACATATTATCCTCATCTTAACTGCCATACTGAATCTCATCATCTCATTCTATCTTCCTATCTTTTGCTACTTCCTCCGACCGATTTTTCTTTCTTTCTTCATCTTCCATTTTACTGCCTTGTTACTTGTTGTGCTGATATGAGGTGTGACAACTTGGACAATTAAGGAGTAATACATGGCTGGTCCTATGTTGATCCTGATGATGCTTACTTCAACTAAACTGCACACATTAATTTTACCTTAGTGTTTCAGACAACCAAGCACATGACTCAGTTTTACCTACTACAATTCGACACAGTGTAAACTCAGAGCCGTTTGATGGTATCATGTAGGGTAGTAAGTTTAGAAAATGAAAATGCATATAACTTCTAGCAGAAATAGAAGAAACCTACTGTGAACTAGAGGTCAGTAGTCTAAGGAGGTGATGACAATACGTAGCTTCATACTGTAACGCTTGTTAAACTCCCTTCAGAACCACTAAAACTTAGTTTCCATCAATCTAAATTAACATAGGACCAGGCACTACGGCGTTACCGTACGAGTTGCCACATCCTATATCACTACATCAAGTAAAAAGGCAGTGAAGTGGAAGATGAAGAAAATTCAGTCAAAGGGAATAGAAAGTACGAAAAGAGAGAAAGGAATAATGAGATGATGAGACTAAGTATAAAGGTTAACGTGAGGATAATGTGTGCGGATACATCTGCGCCACTGACATCGGTTCTGAGCAACGTGATCACCTAGAATCTCCAACCACTGATTCCTCTTGTCCTGCACACCCCCCAACAACTCAGTCTACATTGCCCCACATGGCTCAAACCAACAGTCAGAGACTTCATACATTGATACCATGTTTTAGTCTAGCCACCTCGGATCTTCTTCCAGCTTCAACCTACTTTGATCAACATTGTGCGATGAGGTAAACGGCGACTAGGCATATGTAACATATGTCGCAACCATCTCAGTCGATGAAGGTTCACAACAACCGTGTCAACTGACTCACTTCTAACTCCCTAAAACTCTACACCTGACTTGTGCGTTACTCACGTGGTGATACCACGGAATACAGCCTACACTACGAAGGTAACGGTAGTCAAACACTTGAAGCCTTCTCATGTCTTCTACCTTGAATGGCTATGTTTCACAGCGATACAGTAGAACATAGTGGACTGTTGTGAAGGTGCCGTAGGCGCAACCCTTAATAGACAATCGGATATCACGGCGGCGGCTTTATAGGTGACGCAGGTTGGTAAAAGCCAGTCGAGCCTTTTGCTTGGGTAAACAAGGAAAAAAAGTGTGATTGTCAATCTGGAAGGTTTTCAGATTTCATCGGCCACTGACCAGTGCACCAGGATTGATCCCACTTCACTACTTACCTGGGAAGTGAAGTGGTCGACATACTCAACCACTACACTCTTTATTGTTTGTCGAGGTACCATTGAAAACCAATCCTAGAGCAAGAATTTGCATTCGAGTGATGAGAAACGAATCCCATACATTCTCAAGTTGTCACTCAAAGTGTTCAGAAGACTTTGCATCTTCACATAACAGGACTTACAGTTTAAACAATAAGGAATTGTTAAGATATAACGTTAAAGGATGACTGACTTACATTTCCACGAGCCAACAGCTTTAAGTCAACTGATGTCTCTCCAGTTAGTCGAACAACACGTTTGCCTAATTTTTCACCGAATCGACTAACCCAATCAATATAACGTTGTTCTACTTGTTCTTCATGTGGTGGTAAAACATATATACAACGAAAGTTAGCAGATGTACCAGTTGATTCAGATTGACTCATCGAATTGGCGCTGTAAGTTGTTATCAAACGAAATATTGCCAATTCAGCACAAACTGTTTTCCCACTGCCTGTTGGAGCTGCTATCAAAACATTTTCATCGGAATTGTACAGTGAATTAAAAACCTATTGAGAAAAAAAATCACAATAAAACGTAGGAAAATAAATAAAAATTGTATTCTATTAGGTTTAGGATGAAAATAGATTGCAGTTAGACTGTTATGCGACAGCACTTTTTATTTTTGGACTATTGTTTTCAAGAGACAAAGAAGACTGACTAGTTAATTCTATAAAGGGTATCATTCAACTCAGCAAGTATATGCAAGCTTGTGCATTGTGGTGTTTAAAACTCACCTACTTTCCTTGATGGCAACAAACTAACAGTAAGTAGTAATGATGGGTGGCTAGCAGTGGAATCCAGGATGCGCATTTCGTCATATTCGGGACTCGTCAGTTGGATGCACCTGCCTCTCAGTGAGTGATGTTATTTCCATCTGGATTCGAACGTGGCAGGGACTACTTCAAACGCCAAAGCGTTATCCACTAGACCATCGAGTCACGATAGCCACTTCTTGTGCGACAGGTGCGACGGGATTGCGTTGGAAGCGATCGCTCCCGGGTTCGAATCCCAGTGGAAACAACATGACTCACTGTGAGGCAGGTACATCCAGCTGACCAATGAGTCGCAAATAGGATAAAATGCGCATACTGGATTCCACTGCTAGCCACTATCCATCATTACTATGTGATTAAAAACACAGGTAATATCGAGATATCCGCGCAGGAGCCCACATGCCAACACAGATCGATCAATTCGGTCCAATCAACGACGGTATAATAAAAGAAATAACACTAATAGTGATTAGCTTTGAAAAAGCTACGATTAGATACCTAAACTTTTACCAAAGCAGCTGATTAGCTGAAAGCACAGTGCGAGTTAAATATAGCCAAACGATGATTAAATCCGCAGATCCATGAAGTCGCTTACGATTACTTCAAGTCATGTGAAGGGTTTAGATTGTCAAGGTGATAGGAATCAACGTCACCAAGAGTCCTCAACCACTCATTTCTATCATCTCAAGGATCCTAGCCAGGTAGTCTACATCTCCCCAAACAGCTCATGCCAATTCAGAGAATTCATTGACTGGTGTCATCCCTTGGTATGGCCACCTTAAAGCCTATTCCAACTTTCTCCACTAACATGGCACATTGAGGTAGGAAGTGACTCGGCATGTAAAGTACATGTCCAACCCACCTCAAATGATGAAGGTTCACAACCTCATTGACTATCTTGTCTAATGTCCTTCGACTGACTGCAACATTACTCATAGGGTAATTCTACCAAACGCAACTTGAATTGATGGCATTATGTGCAAAGGTTTCACGTTGATTCACTTGTTTATAATCTCTATACAATTGGAAAAGACAAAATGTGTTTTCTAGGCACAACAGACCAGCAAACACTCAGCACTACATAGTATTTGAGAAAGATTACTAGAGGGATTTCCTAACGAAGAGTATTAGGTAGTAAACTTAGATTAAAAAAACAGTTGATTCGATTTTAGCGCTATATCGACCAAGGTGGCCGGTTGACGTCCATTTTGAACCAAGTAGAAACCGATGCTTTACGACTACAGGTGATATGGTTCAGAACCAATCTCAGTCGAATAGATGTATGTACAAATCATCCTAGTTGTCACATACCATTTTCTCATAATTCTACTCATTCTTCTTCTTTTTATGACTTCCTGAGAAGTTTGATTATATTTTTCTTTTATTTCTCTATTTTTGATTGTAATGCCTTGTATACAAATATCCTGAGGTGTGGCAAATTGAATTATCAAGCAGTAATGACAGGTCCTATGTTGGTAATGACCAACTTACGGAGCAGGCATGACTAGGATACAATGTTTCGGTAACTATCTACCATAGATCAACATTCTTTTTTTCTTCATGACTGTAATATGTTGATTTGATCACCTACTAACCACAACATGCCACTTTTCTTTCCAGATAATGTTTTTGTATAGAACAGGATTCTTACCGTTTTCTTAAGTATACTCATTGGTCAAGTATGCGAAATATGGTAAAGTTGGTACAATTTGTCAGATTTCACAGCTGTTTATAAAGAGAAAAACTGATATCAAAGTAGACAAACGTGTATGCGAGGAGAAATTCGAAAATCAAAATTATCAAAGATGTTTACATCTTAAAAGATGTCAAGGAGTGAATATGTATGCACTATTGTGATCAATTTTCAGCCATTTCATCAAGGCTCTCCAACCATTCACTCCTATTAACTTGACGAACTCAGGCAGTAAACACCTCCTAAGACTAACTTGAGTCCTGATAGAGTTGTGAGGGGGGTTGACACTTCTTGGTTATTTCTTCTTAAAGTACCTGAAAGAGATTTGTATGACCTCAGAGGCCATCAGATATCTGCTTCACGCCTGTCACACACAGCCTTTTGTGTATCCTTATTTTGAAATCCCGTATTTTTCCGACAGGATCGTCGAAAAAGAAACAACAAATGAACAAACACCACCGATCCAGAAGACCCCAGGGTATGGTGGAGTGTCTTATTTTCGGGGCCCACATTTTCCAACCCCCGAACCCCTTCCACTCAGAAGCAAGCATCAGCATGGCACTGCTGCTCATCCAACGGAAACACCTTACTCCTGTCACACTCCATCTACCTAGTAACAGTATGACTTAGCCTTCAGACCCCAGTCATAGTGTGGTAATTTACACCACAACTGTAGCTGCTTTTCGTCTAACCACTATTCATTCAACAGACCTTTCTGGTATGGTAGGACTTCGAGGGAACAAGTGTTCCACCAGCAGAGCTCGTTGGGTCATTGTGGTATGCAAGCCCGACCACCACGTCAAGGTAGTAGCTATCGGTTGAGACTAAGACTAACCAGTCATGGACTGGTACCACATTTTAGTCTGACAACCCTGAGCGTGGTGCAGGAAACTACGAACTTTTTATCGATAACTCTGAAATCAGTGGTGTCAAAATTTGTATTGTTTCAATGAAAAAAATAACTCTATGTAGAAAATAAAAAAAAGCATAACTATGACGAATATGTACCTGTGTTTGTATAGGATTGAACACTTTAATACGATCAGCGTATAATGCTTCAAAATCTTTATTTCTTAAAGCTGTCACTGGAAGCGGTTGTAAATCTAACAATTCAGTAGGTGGTATTGTTTTCTCTGGAAGAATTAAATGTCGAAATGATACTGGTAAGGTGACTTCTCCACCAATCCAACGATCTGATACAGCTGTTATATAATAATGAGGTGGTAATGGATCAAATATTGGTACAATAAATCGTAAAATATGCTCTTCTGTTGCATAACGTTGTTTTAATACAAAAAATTCATAATGTAATACACTATTCCCATCAACATCTTCAACAAATATCCAAAATGCTTGATTTGTTGAATGTACTTTTTCATCCCATATAAAATCTGGTGTTAAAGTTAATTCAACACGTAATGCTGATCTTGTAATTGGTTGAACATGAACACTCATTTCTAGACGAGGCAATTGATGTAGATATTTATGCAATGGTCTACCTAATTTAGGTAATCTTACTAATTCACCTAATTCATGATGATTCATATCATATAGACGATCAAATGATATTGACTTCTTTTCTAATTTACGAATTACTTCATCAGGTAACTTTTTAAATTGACGTAATGGACACATTGATTCCCACATTCTTCGTTCAATCATTTTTGCTAATGTAAGTGCATTATCAGCTAATTCAGCCCAACCACGATATAGTACAATTTCAAAGATAGCTCGTACAAGTCGACCAGCTGATTGTGTAATATAAACCATATCAGACATTAAAGAGAATCCTTCTAATTTTAAACCAGAGATATAAGCTTGTAAAAGGCAATTGATTTTAGCTGAAGGTTCTTCAGGTGATTCTTTAATTGGAATTGGGACACGTTCAAGTAGTTTAGCTAATTCAAATCGTTCTTCTTGTCTAACAGTCATATACTTGAATTCAGAACTGGCAGAAAATACACGAAATAATTCAATTTCACCTAAACCTGGTCGAAGTAATTTATTATATGATAATACAGTTGAATGTGTAAGATAATAATGTGATGCAATTCGACCAAGTTCAGTAGACTGTAAACATCCAGAACGTCGATCATAACGTATTAATTGTGATCTTTCTAATTCGATAGCTGCTGTATGCACTAAATCTCGACGATATTGTTCAAGCCATGGATCATTTTTTTCACTACCATATGGGACACCATATAAACTTGGATTACGTAGCATACGAATATAAAGATAAGTATATCCTAGCCAAGTAACTGCTTCACGAATAGTTGTTACTGTACCCAAAACAATTTCAGCATTTAATAAATCAGCTAAACGTGAAATTAATTGACTTTCAATTGGAAGTTGTTGATTCATTAAACTTAGATAATATTGTAATTCTGTATGATTTGTAATTAGTATACCTTCACCTTTAGTATCATATTGTGGACGACCAGCACGTCCAAGCATTTGCATAACATCCAAAGCACCTAATTCTGTCCAACGACCTTTTTCAGGACTATATATCTATAGTATAAAGTAATGTAGAAGCTGATAAATAAATGGACATCAAATAGTGGTGGTTTTATTAAAAAAAAATTTGACTTGTATTATCAAAAGCCTACAAATTATGGGAAATGTATTAAGCCTCATTGTAAAACTATCAAGATAAATGTTGTGACTGAGTGGTGGTTGCGTGCATGGGTATAATGAATACTGAGACTCAATAGACACCTCAACCGAATACCTTTACGACTGACCTCCCCTCAGTAGACTCTGCTTCACTGAGCCGCGGAAAAATCAGAAGACAAAGACGGCATGTGACTGCAAGGACAGCGACAACTTTTATTAGGCAAATACATGACATATATGTATTTGCAAAACTCTCAGAAAGTGAAGCCCCTATTGGCTACCTTTTGTTGATACGTAACAATAGATTACCCTGTACTTTATTCACTCATAAAATGCGACTCTTTCTTTCCCATGACAATTGTATCACAGCTGAATAAGTAAAATTATAAGCTAGCGATAGATATTCGCTATCTAATTTCGGGGTTTGTGAGGGAGGGGGGATTTAGTGATTTTTCAAGTTAGTATTCATTATGGACTGACATCAGTTAAAGGAACATTAGAAACTTGAGAGCACTGGATAGCTAGTTGTTTCGTTCTAGTCTAGGATTTCTCAGCAGTGCGCACCCCATGACCCCACCAGGGAATCAAAAGGCCTTGGGATCGATCCCCAGCGGGGTTATGGGTTAGCATTGCTGAGGAATCTCATACTAGTACGAAATAGTTATCCAGTACTTTCAGGCTTCTAATATTCCTCTAATTGATGTCAGTCAATGAGAAATAGCAAATTGAGATATTTTCCAACTTTTGTGAAGAATAACCTAATTATATTTAGTATTTATGTTGAACTAGTACAAAATCATTTGAAATAATTACTCTCGACTAAATAGTCTTCATTGGTTTTATACATCTTATAAAGTTTAGATGTTATTACTAACACTAAATGACCTACTGTGTAATATATGTGATATCACTATTGTATAACTGAAACACTTGACTGTGAAAGTGTTTGCTTCAAGCAAGCAAGCTAGCGAAAGCGTAATGAAATCAAGTGTAAAGATGTTATTGTGCTTTCATCAATATTATCTATACAATTAGGATAAGCGCATTGAAAGCAAAGCTAATCAAAGAAAACCCAAGTCCAACTGAAGAGAACAATAACAATAAGAATTGAATAAGTAGTAATTAACACATTTGTTTAATTCTAAGGTATTGAAATAGTAATGTAAGCTGCTTAACAAACAGAAACCATCTAGACTGATAATATAATACTTGAGACAACAATTAAACTAATGATAATGTTATCAAAATAGTAATGATATATATATATATACCTGTGTTCCTTTAATTAACACTGTATGTGCAGGCAGATTAACACCCCATGCCAATGTGGCAGTAGAGACTAAAACTTGAATATGTCGATCAGCGAATAAATCTTCAACTAGAGTACGATCAACACGACTCATACCAGCATGATGAATACCAAAACCATAAGGAAGTAAATCTTTTAGCTCAAAATTTTTCACCTAAATAAAATGAAAATGAAGTGTAAGAAGAAATTTTTCTTTATAATACTATCGATGAAAATACAAGCAGTGGAGAATAATTTTCAACCTCCTAGGTATAGTTAGAAGTTGTGAAATACTTCAAATTTACTAAATAACCACATTTCATCTAAGCAAGTCGTCTTACATGAATTATTATGGCTGTGAAACAATGCCATTGAAGGTGGAAGACATCAGAAGGCTTCAGGTGTTTCACCACCGTTGCCTTCCTAGTATAGACCGTATTCCATGGTGTCACCAACTGACTAACACAGAAGTCACACGTAGAGAGAGGTAGGGGAGTTGGTGCGGTTGTGAACCTTCATCGACTGAGACAGTTGCGACATGTGTTACGTATGCCTAGTCGCCGTCTGCCTCTTCACACAATGTTGGTCGAAGTAGGTTCAGGTTGGAAAAAACCCCGAGGCGGCTACACTAAAACATAGTATCAATGTATGAAGTGTTTGACTGTTGGTTTGAGCTATGTGGGGCGGTGTAGACTAGTCGGTTGGAGTATGCGAGACAAGAGGAACCAGTGGTTGCACATAGCTCAGAAATGATGTCAGCGGTGTAGATGCATACGCACATTATCCTCATCTTACCTCCCATAATTAATCTCATCATCTCATTCTATCTTCCTCTATTTTACTACTTTCTACTTCTACTGCCAATTCCTTCAACCGATTTTTCTTTCCTTCTTCATCTTCCATTTTACTGCCTTGTTTCTTGTTGTGCTGATATGAGGTATGACAACTTGGGCCGTTACGCAATAATCCCCGGTCCTATGTGGATCTTGATGATGATGGCATGAACTACTCAAAGATGTATACTCAGTGGCTCCATAATTATGGTCGACACTTGCTGACGTATGTTTCAGATCAGTAGTAAACAATTTGCCAGACTGATATCACATCTTGATCTGTCCACATCCTTACGTTTTGTTTACACTAATCTTATTGCAGCCATCAACACTTTACATCTTACAATTTTCTTTCGAAGCAGAACATCATCCATGCCAAGATGTTAAATAACAAACTACAAAAAGCTGCATTTTTATGATGATCTACCACCTCAGATCAACTACTCGGTTATTGGCATGAAGATCAACTCTAATAGACACGAATATTTTCGAAAATTACATTCCAGAAATGTGACGATCATAATGTATATGGACAGTGGATGAATAAATCCATAACCTTGGAAACAACATTAACTATTTAATGTTCAAGATTGCAATTGTAGTAAACAGAAAGGTCCACTACGTATTTTCAAACAGCTGAGCCGAAGTGAATAAAGTAACAACTAGCGCTTTATATAATGCTTTTAATGACTAGAAAGACTTGTCATTCACAGACAGATAAACAAAATTAACGCAGAACCTCGCATACAAATGCATCCTCTTCCAGTTCGCTACACTCCATAGTAGTGTATAAAGAACAGGTGGAGAGAGGAAGATTGATGTCAAAACTAGACTAATTATATGGAAGAACAAACAATTTGAAGAGGAAGGTCAGTACGAATATTCAAGCCTTAGAAGACGTCAAGCAGTGAATACATCTGCGCCATTGTGATCAATTTTTAGCCGTGTCGCTAATAGTCCTCAACCACTGGTTTCTATTATTTAGGGGACCCCCCACTCAGGTAGTCGTCTACTTCCCCCTACACTTGTTGTTACCAACACACAAATAAACTGCTAAATTGCAATGTAGATTTAAAATCGACAACTATTCAAATTATTTTTACAAGATGAAAAGAAATTCACCAAAAATGGTACGCTTTAGCCTTGTCTGTATTGTCGTAGCTCTTGCCAAATGCATAGATAAGCCAGAATTATATGAAATATAGCACGTTGTTTAACCTTGGTTGGTACTTTGAACTTAGATAGTAGCCATAAACATCAACCCTCTCTTTTTGTCTCTCTAAATATTCACAATTTTTGTATATTGTCAACAAGCCAACATCGTCTTCACTGAGTTGCTATATCACCCTCGGATAGCGCTACACCTTGAAGATTATTTTTACACAAGATACAACCATTTATCCTGTAGCCAGTTGGGGTCCGCGAGGCAAGAGGAAGCACTGGTTGGAGACTCTAGGTGATCACATGGCTCAGAACCGATGTCAGTGACGAAGATGTATATATATATATATATATATATATATATATATATATATATATATATATATATATTATCCTCACCTTAACCTTTATACTTAGTCTTATCGTCTTCTCATTATTTCTTTCTCTCTTCTAGTACTTTATATTTCTTTCGACTGAATTGTCTTTTCTTCATCTTGAACTTCACTGTCTTTTTACTTGATGTACTGACATGAGCTGTGGCAACTTGGATAGTTACGCAGTAATGCCTGGTCCTATGTTGATATTGATGATGATGACTTTATCCTATTCTGTTAATTATGTAAGTCTTCTAAAGCTGTTTTGTGATTTATCTTTATATTTCATCATATGTGGCTTTTTGATATCAAGTAGAAAAGAGTAATCTTCACTGAATACACACACACACACACACATGAGTGTAGGTGAACTAGGTTTTCACTATGAAAAAGAGAAACTTACTTGTTCAGCTTCTTGACGTAGTACAACAGCAGATGCATTTTTCTCTTTCATAAATATACCAAGTGTATCTTTTTCCAAGCATGCATCTCTTAGTGCACGTGCTGTTTTACCAGTTTCTTTACGACTATGCACAAATATTAATATCTGATTACGTCCAGCGTGTTCCATCACTTTATCATAGACTATATCATTCATTATTTGATAGCGTTTAACGGCTTTCTTTTCAGTTATCCCAATATATTGTTGTTCTAGTGGTACAGGACGATAGCTATATAACGAAGAAAATAGTAATAACATACATAATTGTAGGCATAACAATAAACTGAAGAAATTAGATTTCTTTTTTCTTGAATTGAAATGCACTCATTGATAATGTGCCTATTCATGCAATAGGTAATGGTACCTGAAAGAGATTTGTATGACCTCAGAGGCCATCAGATATCTGCTTCACGCCTGTCACACACAGCCTTTTGTGTATCCTTATTTTGAAATCCCGTATTTTTCCGACAGGATCGTCGAAAAAGAAACAACAAATGAACAAACACCACCGATCCAGAAGACCCCAGGGTATGGTGGAGTGTCTTATTTTCGGGGCCCACATTTTCCAACCCCCGAACCCCTTCCACTCAGAAGCAAGCATCAGCATGGCACTGCTGCTCATCCAACGGAAACACCTTACTCCTGTCACACTCCATCTACCTAGTAACAGTATGACTTAGCCTTCAGACCCCAGTCATAGTGTGGTAATTTACACCACAACTGTAGCTGCTTTTCGTCTAACCACTATTCATTCAACAGACCTTTCTGGTATGGTAGGACTTCGAGGGAACAAGTGTTCCACCAGCAGAGCTCGTTGGGTCAATAGGCAATGAGCAACACTTATTGTGTGACTGGCTAATGATACTATTACCTGACTGGCTGGCTAAATCTCGGCGAGTGGAGTTGGGTTCGAACTCATGACCTTAGCGTGAACACTGTGATAATTCACTCGAGAAAGTGTGGATTAAAAAAGACAGGTCGGAAAATATTGCTGATATTCCTAATAAACAGGATAATATTTTGAACATATCACAGTACTTACCTGTTGTCAAAATAGAATAAGCCTTTTGAACAGTCAACTCGTAGAAATGTTGCTACATCTTCATAATTTGGTAGTGTTGCACTCAATCCAACAAGACGAACACCACCACCACCACCTATATCATTAGATACAGCTAAACCAGATGTGCTCTCCACAGCACGTAGTGTTCGAGCAACAATAGCTTCAAGTATTGGACCTCGATCATCATGTAATAAATGAATTTCATCGAATATAATTAGTCTAACTAATTGTATATAAGCACGTTCATCTCCACCACGACGTGTAATCACATCCCATTTCTCTGGTGTGCATACAATCACTTGTGTTTCATAAATTTGTTCACGGCTAAGTTGATGATCACCAGTAAGTTCGTCTACTTTAATACCATAACTGCTTAACAGCTAAAAATGAACAAGAGGAAGAGAGGAAAACGTGTGTATATCAAAAGGACAAATTGCGTGTAGTGAATATGATTTTGAATAAACTGACTATATAAGTTGCATTACATAATATTACCTGATACTTATAATGCAGTAAAACCTAACAAATAACACACAGAATAAAGTAATTCAGATGAACCAAATAGTTTAAGGTTTGCATTTAGACAATGTTAATTTACACGGCAACATATCATCATTTGCATTCGTTTGTCCCTTGGGTTCCTGGTGGAACATATACCTTCAGTGGCACTTCTCCATTCCACTCTGTTCTCTGCAATCTTTTCAACCTGCCTTCATGACTACCCAGAAGCTCTAATTCCTTCCTCACGCTATCTCCTCCATGTCACCCTCGCATCGGACGCTTAACTCACCGTTTCCTATCTGGGTTCCACTCGAGTGCCCGGCCTGCCGCGTGATGTCCCTAAATGGTTTTCTCAGTGCATGCCTAAACCATCTCCACTTCCTTCTGCATATTTGTTGAGCGATAGGTTCTCGCTTTGTTCGTTCGTTGCCACCCAGCTTATTGTTTCTGGCCATCTGATCTTGAGTTTCGAGCCAGCGTAGGCGGCAGCTGTTGATGAATATCTGTAGTTTGTTGGAAATGATTTTCGTAACGCGCCAAGTCTCTGACATTGGTGTTGAAAATCCAGATGTTGTTGACATTTTATGGTGAATGCAGAAGATCTCTAGACTAGTTTCAGGTTAATGAACGCCTGTCTTGCTTTTCCGATCCTGGCTTTGACGTTCTCGTCTGTGCCATTGCCTGTAGTTGAAACGATGCTGCCTAGATAGGTGAAAGAGGCTACTTCCTCAAAGTTTCTCCGTTGATGGTGACGGCAACATATATATAGTGTTGGATAAACAATTTACAACTAGCCCTAAACAAGATCATGCACATTCATCCAGTAGGCAATGAGCCGCACCTATTGTGTGAGGGGCCTGCGCCCAGACCTCGACAAGTGGAGCAGTGCTTGAACCCGTCATCCAACGGTTGAAAGTCATCTCCCTAAACCGATAAGCCACAGCCTCACAACTAGCGCACTGTTTATTCTTCGAGGATGGAGTAGGATAATAGAAAACTAAAAATCAACGCAAAACCTCGTAAATAAGTGCTTCAGTTCAAGTTGCTACAATTCACAGCAGAATCAAAAGAACAAGTGGACAGAACGATACTGATAACAAAGTAAATAAAGGTGTGCAAGAGGGACTCGCTTGGCTTTCGCCAGATTACGCCATCTGTGGTAACAACTGACAATATTACACACATATTACTTTAAGATATGAAAAATACCTAACTCCTGCAGATTTTAGGACGGCATTCAGAGAAGCTATAGTTCTCCAACGGCTTAGCTTAACAGTCAACAACTATACACTTTGAATATGGTGCTTCAAACTGAAAGAAAAATGGAGCAGGACGAAGATTTTTAACCACACTGTAGCAACAAAAACTTTCTAGAACTCACCTTATTAAAATTACCTACAACTTCTTGTACAAGAGACCTCATTGGGGCAATATAAATCAGTTTAAATTCATCTTTATTTATTGTTCCATCAGGATTGATGAATTTTCCTAATTCATGCATAATACATAGCAAGGCCACATTGGTTTTTCCAGCACCCTGAAAATATGTGTAAATGTAACAATTATATTTAGTATTTTAGTCAGAAAAAAAAGTATTCATTCACATTTTATTATAATTAAAGCAGTTAAACTGTGAAGAGGTGGAACTAGGTGGAGTGGGATTTAAACAAGAGACTTATCGTTTAAAAGTAGAATGCGTAAACTAATGGGCTACATCTCCACTATTATTTCAGGGTCCACATCAATTGACTAATCCGCTGGTGGAGGTCTCCCTCTTGTCACCTGACTACAAAGAGCTTGACCTAATCACGTAAGAATCTTAATTAGACCTAGATTACGCAGATAATATAGTCCTGTTAGGCGGAGGGGCTGAAAAGATGCAGTCTTCTGAACACTTTGAGTGACAACTTGGGAATGTCTGGGATGCGTTTCGCACCACCCAAATGAAATTCTTGCTACAGAATTGGTCTTCAACGGTACCTCGACAAACAATAAAGAGTGTAGTGATTGAGTGTGTCGACCACTTCACTTCACAGGTAAGTAGTGAAGTGGGATCAATCCTGGTGCACTGGTCAGTGACCGATGAAATCTCTGCATGGATACAAAAGGCTCGTCCGGCTGGCTTTTGACGACTTGCGCCACCTGTGGTGTCGCCGTGATATCCGACTGTCTCATTAAGGGTTGGGTGTACTGCATCTGCACAACAGTCCGCTCTGTTCTACTGTATAGCTGTGAAACGTAGAGAGAGGTAGGGGAGTTGGTGCGGTTGTGAACCTTCATCGACTGAGATGGTTGCGACATGTGTTACATAAGTTTAGTCGCCGTCTGCCTCATCACACAATGTTGGCTGAAGCAGGTTCAGGCTGGAAGAAGGGTCAAAGCGGTCAGACTACAACATGGTATCAATGTATGAAGTATTTGACTGTTGGTTTGAGCCAAGTGAAGCAATGTAGACTAGCCGGTTGTAGTCCACAGGACAAGAGGAACCAGTGGTTGGAGACTCTAGGTGATCACATGGCTCAGAACTGATGTCAATGGTGCAGATGCACACATACACACTATCCTCACCTTAACCTTCCATACTTAATCTCATCGTCTTCTCATTATTCATTTCTCTATTCTAGTACTTTCTATTTCCTTTGACTGAATTTTCTTTTCCTCATCTTCCACTTGGTGCGGTGATATGAGGTGTGGCAACTCGTACGGTAGCGCAGTAATGCCTAGTCCTATATGGATCTGGATAGATGGATGGAATTCGCTAGTGGAGGGTTAAATGCCTAAATCGATAAATGGAACCAGCATAAGTCAGAGCCTTGCTATCACAGTATAGATAATACTGGACTACTTGACTCTACGAACTTCGGTTGATGTATATGGGAGTATCATTACTACAAGAAAACTAGCATGTACGTGGTTTTTGAGTAGTACTTTAGCTCAGTTTAAAAGTTTGATATAAAATAATCCTTTCCAATGCATAAACAGATTGTAGTTAGAAAAGTTAAGAGCAGTAATTTGTTTCTTTAGGATACATATCATAGAGTAATCTTCACTGATAATTTCATTTTATTCTGGTAGCAATAAAATAGTTTCGAAGAATAACTTTTATGGTAAAGAGAAAAAACCCGCTACAGTAGGCTAAGATCTATTTTTTTACGTAACCTAAAGCAAACAGAAGAAATGATGCTATATTGACAGGTATAACGTTTTGAATGAAATCATCCAGATGCAAAACTATAAACCCAATAAACTCTATACACCTAAATAAATGTAGACAATAAAAAATACATAAAGAGTTGAGCTCTGAGTTGGGTTCTGTTGAAAATTTTGAAAAATATCCCAATGACTCTATACTTCCGTTGAGTTAATTTTTACAACAAAAACAACCCGATAAAGTAACAAGCCATTAAAACTTACAGTAGGAGCACATAATAGAAGATTTTCATCTGTCTCCATGGCAGCATGATATAAACGACTTTGTATTAAATTAAGCGTTTTACAACCTTCAAATGCAGCTTGTGCATAAGCAGGTAATTTTTCAATTTTTATTAATGTTTCACCTGGTTCTGATGATTTTTGACGTAAAGCTGGTACATGCACTTCTTCATAACCTTTTTTTTGTTTGCGAAATGAACCATCAGGTAGTTGACATCGTTTATTTGCCATTAGATGACCTCCTTGAGAGAATACTAAACCTTCTAAGTCGACAATATTCGCGATACCGATAGCACCATCTTCAGTTAATTGAATTCCTTCATCTTCCATATTTTCATGTTCCATATCGGCCTTAATTAAAAAGAAGACAAAGAAGAACGTTATTTACCTTGAAAAGTAATATTTATGCTGAGATGTAGTTGACAAACTGAAATCGTAAAGATGTAAAGTCTCCGGATATGTAGATATCAGGACTCCCTAGTAATTTTCTTTTGACATAAAACGAAAGCATACTCAGTAAATAAAGTTTATTATGTAAAATTACTCACTTGAACTCGGACAACACGCTGTACATTTTTTCTTTGACGTTCTTCAGCTACAAGATCCATGGAATTTTCTGTTTCTCTTAATTCATGTAATACTTTAGCCAATGTAGGATCATTACGCATTTTAGCCTCCATTTGACTACGTTCTTGTACAGTTTGTGCTTGAGCTAATAAGATACAATGTAAAATCATAAGTCGATGTTTGCGTAATATTTTAACAAAATCGAATTGTTCATAACCTAGAGTACGAACCAAACGATTTTCCAAATCTCTATCATCTACAGCTGATTGAAGAATTTCTAAACATTCACGTGCTTTTGCCTGAGCAACTATTGGATCCTATATATGAGAAGAAAAAAAATTGAATGAGATAATTGGAAAAAGATTTTAATTACACTTAAATAGATGAAGTGTGAACGGATTACTCATTAAAAATAGTATGAAAATCTCAAAATGACATATATATGCTCATGTAAGTACTTGAAGTCACTATACTAACGCTTAACATATATTACAGAAGGATAACAAAAGGCATAGAAATAAGCAAGGTACAAATATGAGATGAGGAAGACTAGACGAATGCAAATTTATAACTAGGCATCACCTGGATTCAATTATTCACTATATATATCTGATTTAAAGAAAATAATTGGAGTGAAACTTACTTGTTCCTTACAAACTACTGATTAATGAACTTATACAGAAATCTCAAATAAAACAGAACACATCAAGTTAGTTAATAAGAGGATATCGATTCCAAAGTATTAAGGGGGTGATAATTAAGCAAGAAAAACAAGATAGTAGTTGAGGTGTAAATGGTGAAAAATAATTGACAACTTAGTAATAACTAACAAGAATGAATGAAGTGGTCAATTGCCGATAATAACTATCCAAGAATAATCACAAATGTGAACAGAGAAGTACGAGAACTAAAGCTGTGATAACAATGATAACAATAATTGGCAGTGGTCTGTAAGTTGAATACAGTAAAGTGTTATCTGTAGACAGGAAGATAGGCCGATAACTAAAAGAGAAGAAAGAGACGGTATGAATTTCTTCGGAACATAGGTTCAGTTTGTTTTCATGAACTTTGACCGTTTGTATTGTGTGTAAAAGAGAAATTCGTGAAACATGGCTAATACTATCTCGATGTCGAGTATCTACGGACAAACAAACACAATCAATATAAAACTTTGCGTTACTGCATAGCGATCCAAGTTGCCACGTCTCAAAAATCAGCACATCAAGTGAGAATGTAACAAGTTGGAAGATGAAATAAAGAATAAAGCAGACAGAAGTGGTAGGAAATAATGATAAGATAACAAGGAGGAATGAGACAATATTGGAACTCAGTATGATGACTAAGGTGAAGATAATGTGTGGCTACATCTGCACCACTAACATCGATTCTGAAATACGTCGCCTAAGGTCTCAGCACTACTGGTTTACGTTATTACGTGGACTCCAACACACAAGTCTAGATTTGCCTACACGGCTCAGATCAACAGTAAGAAACATCAACGGTTGATGCCATATTTTAGTCTGGTCATGCTTAACCTATTCGCAGCCTGAGTTTATCTCAGTCAACATTTTGCGACGAAGCAAACGGTGACAAAATATGCGTAACACATATTCCAGTCATCTGAGTCAGTGAAGGTTCAGTCTCATCAACTGACTTACCTCATCTCCCTAAAACTTCACACCTGAAATGCGTTATTCACATGGTGACACCACAACACATGGCCTATGTTACGAAGGCAACGGTGGTCAAACACCTGCAGCCTTCTCATGTCCTTTGTAATTAATGGTCATGTTACACATCTATGTAGCAAAACAAAGCAAACTGCAGCGAGCTCAACCACTTCACTTCCTACTGTTGGACAAGACAGCACTGAAGATTAATCCCTGTGAAATCAGACGACGAGAGGGAGACTTCCACAAGTACGTCTAAGATAAAGTCGAATAATAATGTAGACAGTGGATATTCCTGACGAACATCACTTGATAACACCGCAGATTATAAGATGCCCATGGGTGTTTAAGCACAGGGTCTTCAACTGAGTTGTGTACTCATTCAAGACCCCTTTCAGTTAGAGACTACCACAAAACCTCTCGATCAACGGAGTGGAATGCCACCTTAAGGTCAAGTAACACTGCCAGTGTCGGAAGTCAGTAAGCACGCTTAAGTTTCAGAAACTGACAAAAAGTGAATATCTGATTGATACACTCGTGACCGAGTCTCAAACCTGGCTGGTTTTATCGGGTTTGCTGTTTCTGAGATTAACTAAGACGTTTGAAGACTACAGAACTTAGAAGCCTAGACAATACGTCTGTCAGGCCGATTCCTCTGTGGTTATCACAAGCTGACTTCTCCCCTTTTTTGAAGACTAGGACAACCGGTGATCGACACTAGCCACAGGGGATTATATCTGACTCCCATACGCTAGTAAACAGTTCAATTAATTCGACCAATGATCTTCTACTACTGTCTCTGAATACCTCTGGTACTGGTCTATCTGGCTCTGCTTCTCTTTCTTATTTCAACTTACCTACCGCTTTCTCTACTTCTGTAAACTTTTGGGGTCCCATATCGATGTTATATTCAGGATCCGACTGAATAGTTGTTGAGTCTCACCAAAATAGAAGATTCATCATTATGGTGTACCACTTGTTGATGTCAAGTGACTGGAAACAATCGACAGTCTTTGATCTAGGCCTCTGACTAATAACACCAGATGATACAAGCTTATATTCCTAAAGAGGGGGGGGGGGTAGTAGTTTTTCTGAGGTTGCAGATACGGCTTGCTGACGAATGCCAACGAAGCATAAAATCCAGATTTATGAATTCCCGTCGATTTTCCCTAATCAACTATCATCGAACCAAAACTGCAAATCGACAGAAGGTATTAAGAACTCTGAAATACATTCATATAACAAATAAGTGGGTACGGTTTGGGAATGTTTATAAAGCAATATTTTGAGTTAAATTAAAAATCCCTCAGTTGAATGTATATAGGTTATAGACACTATATCTAAAAGTGAAAACAAACTAACTTTGCAATGCTTAGCAAGATTACGCTGCAACCAAAATGCATCAATATCCCGAGGGTGTAAATTCTCAGCATTTTGATGAGAAGCAGCAGATGACTCATTCTTACGGGACTGTAAGGTCATCTCAACTACAGCTTCTTCCCCTTCCGGTTCATCTTCATCATCCTCTTCCTTGACCTCACCGAAAGCGTCTTCCTCATCCTATATATGAAATGAAACATAGAAATATTTATGTTGTACAACTGAAAAAACAAATCAAGTAAAGGCTTGTTGTAAACCAGTTTATACAACCAGATGAATGCCAGCTAACAGTTGCATGATGAAGTTATGGTGGAGTAGTTAAAAAACTCAACTCCCAACAGATCAAAGTCTGAACCTTCATACTTAATGCAGTTGATGTCACCGAAATGTGCTCAGTAACCTTGTGCATATTCATGCACTGGGAATAAGCCAGACCTATTGTGTGAGGGCTGGTGATACTATCTACCTGTCCAAATCTCCGTAGGTAGAGCGGGGCTGGAAACCGTGACGCAGACATTGAAAGTCATCTCTTGAAACCAATGAGCCACAGCTCCATCAAACTGCATTGAATTATAGGATAAAAAATGCGTTTCTTCATTATTACTTCTTTTGTAATAGTAACTAGATTACACCAACTGGGAAATTCGCCATATGTGGTTTATTCATACAACAGAGATTGGTCACGCAGCTGCTAAACCACAGGTAGCAAATTTCACAGGTATTTACACTACAAGGAGGACTAAATAATAAGTACACACTTGTGGTTACTGGTGTAAAGTGAATGAAGCAATTTCGTATAAATGACAAAAAACAGTAGGAAGTTGCAAGTTAATGAGTACCAGCATTTTAACTTTCTTGTTTTACGGCGTGTCGTAGCTGAAGTAAGAATTATTTTGTAAGCTTCCAAAATTTGTGATAGTTCAAATAAATATGACTTAAATTGAAACATTAGAGGATTTGGATTTCACCGATGATTTATGTCTAGTGTCGAACAAACTCGAAGATTTACAGGCGAAAACTAACAAGTTGGCAAAAGGGGGCAGGGCAGCGAAGAAAGACGCGACTTTTTTCAGGTGAACGTAGAGAAGACACAGGTGATGAAGATACTCAAACAACAACAGGAACAAGATCCAATCACCATCAATGGGAGAAATCTAAAAGAAGTTGTCTCTTTCACCTACCTACCTAGGCAGCATCGTTTCAACTATAGGCGGTACATATGAGGATGTCAAAGCTAGGATCGAAAAGACAGCAAGATAGGCCTTCGATAATCTGAAATCAGCATGGAGGTCTACTGCACTGCACTTCACTACAACAGCATAAAGTACGAACAAGATCCGGATTTTCAACACTAATGTCAGTCAAGTAAGTCAGTGCTTCTATGTGATGGTTGAGAGACTTGGCGCGTCACGAAAAGCATTTCCAACTAACTGCAGACATACATGAACAGCTGCCACCTACGCTCACTCGATACTGAAGATCAGATCAGTAGGCCAGAAAAATAACCAACCAGGAACTCCAGTCTGACAACGAACCAACAAAGAACCTATTGCTCAACAAATATGCAGAAAGTGGAGTTGGATTGGACACACTGAGAAGACCGTTTGGGGACATCACGCACCAGGCCAGACCGTCGAGTGGGATCCAAATGGCAAACGACGAGTTGGGGGTCCAACGGTGACATGTAGGAGATTGTGTGAGGAAGAAGTGAAAGCTTATGGGCAGTTGTGGAGCCAGGTTGAAAAGAGTACAGAGAACAGCGTGAAATGGAGACGTGCTACTGAAGCCCAATGTTCCACTAGCAAACCAAGGGACAAATAAATAATAAATTGAAAGATAATACATCAGAATTAGACTTCAAAATGCTTTGTGGATCAGAAACTTGAGATACCTGATATACTAAGGATAAGTGGTTAGAGACACATGGTAAAACGGCTGGGAATCGAGCACTCTTTGATATCTTCTAAGGTTTGAATATCACTAACCTTTTATTCTTCTCCCATAAACCTTTGTTTGCCTATATATCGCTTATTCCAATCAACTTGTTTTCTTCTATGATGCTATGAAGTGAGGCAACTAGAACCGATCCACTTGAGTGCAAATCTAAGTTAATTCTTTCTGTGTGTGTGCGTGTGTGTCTGACTCGTCATGTAAGCATCATAAGCATTCATACAGTCAATATGGTGCATAGTTCAGTGAAAGAACAATACCGGAACGAGCTGCATCAGTCACTGCTACGAAATGCGTAACAACCAGTAGTGAACTTCATTTCCTGCAGATGGTCTACAGTTCAACTTTTGCATAAAATTACTCGAGACCATTTGTTGCCATTCAGAAGCAAAGTTGTGCGCTTGTGGCGTACCTCAAATCTGTACTAGGTAAACAACCATCAGATACTTTAGGTGACATAGAGCTAATCACGGATCAATAGTATAAGTAGTTATGAGCTACAACAGCGAAAGGACATACTGAAAACACCTAATACGATCGATATAAGTTCTGACATTTAAGGCTAGGATAGCAAGGGAAAATCAGTAAGAAATAAGAAAAAGAAAGGTTATATCACTGGAAATTTCAAAAATGTAAAAGACAGAATATAGAGATTAATAATTCATAATAAAACTATTAAGATTTGTTGAATAATATGAAGCCCACGCACGAGCAATAATACAATTAATTCTGAGTTATGCCCCTTAGAGTTTCCAGTCAATAGTTTTAAGATTTCACATGGACGCCAACTAAGAAGTCTACAACTCGTAAAAAGTAAATCAACATCCAAGAAAATCCTTCATTTACACAATATTTCGGCTACCTTTCAGTTTCTGATAGACCGATAAAATATGTAGAACTTGGCATACAAGTGCATTGGTACAATTTGCCACACTTCACAGTAACATGTAAATGCATAACAAGTGAACAGAGGAGTGCTAATAAAATGGATAAAAGTGTGTGAGTTGACACAATCAACATATGTAGGTCAATAAAGATATTTAAGACTTCGAAAATGACGAATTGCATGCACCTGCATTGCTGTGCCGAATTTTTAGCCACATTACTTAGTTTTTAAACACTGATTTCTACCGATTTGACCACCTCAGGCAGGTAGCCAACATGGCTGAGATAAACAATCGAAAACTTCATGGACTGTAGCCAAGCCTTAAACTAACCAGCTTTGGCGTTCTTCTAACCCGATCCTACTTCAACCAACAACATCGTACGTTGAGGTAGGTGATGGTTTGGCATGCACAACATACCTAAGCCACCTCAGAAGGTTAACAACTTCGTCGGTTAACTTACCTTCTCTACCTAGTGTAGGACACGACAAGACAGAGGAAGGAAGGAATCTTTATTACTGATGTCTTGTACAGTAGTCATGTCATCAAATATTGTGCACCTTTCCACTAAGACAGTCGTTTGCATCATGTGCTTCATTTCCTCTTCTGCTTCTATCTTGATTTGTTCTTGATACACCATCATTATCTCTTGCGTTTCTCTGGGCAGAATCGTTACCCATTGCTGGTAATTCCCCATGGTTTCTGCTGCCCTCTCGACATATACTACTTATATCCATTTTGATCAGCAGCGCCCACTACACTAGTGTACTGTACGCTTTACGTCCTCGTCGGTCACATACTGATCCCACGACAAGCGAGCAATGCAGCAAAAACATATGGTCAAAAAACCTGTAACCGCTTCGTATTTTCTACTTTCCACATTTATGCTCAACAACCGCATAATAAGACAGCGAACTACAATCCAGTATGCTTGCCACTATACAGGAAGTCAGATACTTCGCAGGCTCTAGATGTGGTGTAAATTACCAAATGCCAAAAAGATCTTTTGTATCCAACCTCATATTTCATTAACAAACAAAAAATTCATTGAGGTCGGTGCAGCTTTCCATGTAAATGTAGTCAACCACTTGACTCCTCATCCTTAAAGTAAGAACTGGTGCAGACCAGTCTTGAAGCATCATCTTACATTTGACAAGCTTTAAACGCATGCTAAACATACCAAGATTTCTGCACAAGGTGTCCAGGAGACCCTGCATTTTGTCAGCATTTTTGCCTATTAGGGCAATATCCCTGGTGTGCTCCAGATAAGGTGAATCAACTCTTGCGAAAGTATCATCTGACGATCACTGACTATAAGCTTTAAACAGCTGTGGGAGCAAATGGAAGGCTCTGATTAACACTACATGTTTGCTCAGTACTCCTTTCAGTCAGACAGTTACAACTCATGGTCGACAGAGTAGAGTGAGCTTTTAGGTCGGGAAATATGTAGTGTTGGATGCCTAGGAGTATGTTTGTTTCAGAACCTGTAGAAGGGGGAACACCCAACCAAAATATTCTAATCCAGATCTAAAACCTGCCGGGTTTTCTCGAGATCCAGTTAGGCGTTGGATAACCATGAAACCTAGGATAGTAAGTACCGTCTGTGCGGTCATTACATGAAGACTTATCACTGTGTTTACAGACTAGTATAATTAACGATCTAGACCAGACTGCTGGGAATACCTATGATTCCCGCATACTAGCTAGCATCCTCGTTACTCAACTGGATAACTTTCTACCTTCATCCTTAAACATTTCCAGTGACAAACCATCAGATTCTGCAGCTTTGTGTCGCTGCAGGTCACCCAAACTGTCCCTCAGTGATTCGCCCAACGTTGTAGTTGCCTGTCGTGAGGTCATTAAGAGTCTCTTCTTTTCCGTAGTGGCATCACTAAAAATAGTCTCCCAGTCAGTATCCTTAATTAACCTAAATAATAGCCCGGTAATACCTTATTCATCTTTTCCACCTATATCACCAGCCACTGTTTGCAGTCAGTTTAAATCTGATCCGCCTTTGCTGTTGTTTGTCGTCATCATGACCATCGGGAATGAATCTTCCCACACTAATTAATTCGGGAGAGGGTGCGGAAATGTCCTGGCTTTTGCCAACATTCGGATGCAGGTTACTAACTGTCCTTTCCGCTGTTTCTATAACAGAATAAATATTACACCAGGCTTTATCAGGATAGATAAGTGCTAAGCTACCTAGTCTCCGATTATACACTTGAAGTTCTCATCTTCCAGTCAAGAATAGAGGTTTCACTGCCACTTGTTTTTGCGCTTGTTAAGGAGTAAGCCTATATGTGCCCGTGCTAACATATGATTGTAGTCCAACCAGGTACTCCAATGGTAAAGGTAATAGTCAACCGATTCTCCTTAACGACTGCTTGTAAACAGTGTTCGTGTTGGACACATGATTTAGGTTGAAGTCGATAACAATGGCATATATGCATTAACTTTTTAACTTGTCTTATAATGTTTATTTTCTCCTGTTAAAAAGCATTATTTAGCCCAACTCAATGAGTCAAATTATAGCAGGATAATAGTGCGGAAGTAATTGATATGAAAATGTCGGGAAGCTCTAGTTAATGCATTACTACTACTCAAAAAGCTCCAATTTTACACTCCATTTTCCTCGGTCAATTTCGTTTTGGCCTTTAATTCAAACATCATTGAGGCTACTACAGATATAACAATAAAGTAGTAACTTAAGCAACCAAGAACAGATAAACGCAGAACTATATGCAAGACAACATAGGGTCAAATTATCACAATTAACAGGGATGGGAGATGAAAAGACAAAGTGGAAAAGTAGTATTTTAGTGAAGTACCGGGAATGAAAGGTGGAAGGGTAGTTAGTATTTTGATGAACGGATTACCACCGAAACCAATTTTTATTTACGTTACGAAGTCTCCAAACTATTTACAGTATATGGAAAAAACACTTCCAGATACGTAAAATGGTGTCACGTACATCAACTCGCATAAAATAGGTGGCTTTGATACAGTTATTTGAGTGTCCCCTCAAACTTAAGTAGACTGGGATAGTCAAACGATGACGCAAATAAACCTAATACATGTCGATTTACTAGGCTATGAGCCGCGCGTGTTGTAGTAGGCTTATGGGACTGCTCAGTTGCAGAGGCCGGGTTATATGGAGCAGGGTCCAACACTAGGACCCACTGTTTGAAAGTCCTTGAGCCAATGAGCCATATCACAAAACAGTTAAAGTGTGGAACGAGGCATCAGGTGGATATGCAGCGGGTCAAACTACTAAAAGTACACCTTGCAGTCCGTACTAACTAACGCCAATATTTGAGTAGTCTCATCCGACATAGAAACTTAACTAGATATGGAACTACTGGATTATACTCAATTTCTGCTTAGTACCATACTGTTGTGTGCATCCTAGAGTATGATTTGGTTCTTAATGTGGAGACTGGTAAAACCGAAGTGCATTCAGCAACCATGTCCACGTTCGTGTAGTAGGCAGTGAGCCACACCAATTGTGAGGGTAAATGATACCACTACCTGGCTGTCCAGACCTCGGTAAGAGTGGAGTTTGAATCTGTAACCCATAAGCTAAAAGCCATTTGCTTAAAGAAAGAGCTCCATTTAATGAACTACTAATTTATCTACTATTGGTAGTCATGGATAGATAAGTTTTGTTAATTAACAGAAAGTAGGTTAGTTGGATAAATCCATTTAAGACAAGCATCTTTCAAGCAGCTGCAAAAAATATTTCCAACTTTTACTCAGTTTAAGAACGTCTTAATCTCTAACTCCAAGCATTACCCAGACTAATTTACAACATCCCCTTAGTTCTAAACTAACAGCACTTTGCACTGTGTAGACGGCCGACCTATTAATATCGGCGTATTTATCCGGTCTTCAACCGACGACTCCAACATTCAACACTCATAGTGCCAGCATAGGGAACTGGTAGTTTTTGATCTCTTGCGTTTAGTCTTTAGGGTTTATTTGGTGTTATTCGGTTTTCTTTTGCAGTGGACAAGGATATATCTGCTCTCCTGCTTTTAGCTCCGATGTGAATGTTTTTGTGGGTTAAGAATTGCAATTTGTAGTGACAAGGGAGCTGCGAGTTGCCGAGAAGATACAGGGGGCCTTTTGTGACACCTGTCTGTATAGGTCCCTGAGTAGGAGTAGCAAGAGAGTGGGAAAAGGCATATGGGAATTAACCGGAAGGTAAAAGTAGATAGTATGGGTCTAGTTGCTAGGGTAAAACTATTTCCGACATCGAAGCTGACTGATACATTTAACCTAGCAACTAGTAACAACTATATTTCCTGTTTTATTCCTTTTAATAATATGTACATTGTTTTAAGATACTTTTTTATGCATCCTTATTTCCTAATTGAGAAATCATCTCAATAATACTAATAATAACTCATATATTTGGATATTAATAAGACACAGAATAATAAAAATGGATAAAAAAAATACCTCTTGGTCTGATTCCTCGAACTGAACGTTTACGCCATATGTCTGATCGATGCTATCATTCACATTAGAAACTGCAGCAGACGCAGGTTCTTCTTCTTTCCAGTCCGTTATTTTCTTACACAAATTCACGATTATATTGTACCGTTCATCAACGAGAGGGCCTAAGAAGTATAAGAATGTATTATTGAGTTACCTAACAAAGATTCAGTTTCTTTCCTTTTCTCCTTATCTTTTAAATGAGTGTTTTTAGACGTAGCTATAACCTCATCTGCTGCTCCACACAGAATTTCTCGTGATTGATCCCCAAGGGCTTCTTGAATGCAGTGAAGAATGTATTCATAAGTCTTTCGGGTGTCTGGTGTTTTGGGGCGGTAGATGATACCTGCTATATCATCGAAATCATCGTTCAATAAACTGCTCCCTTTTAATTTCAAGGCATCCTGTTGAGACTCATCACGTTTTTGACGTCTGAAAATACGATGAAGAAAAAAACAACTCACTTTGCTCGTTTTTCCTGTAACATAGGAGGCTTCGTTCTTTGTGATTTGTGTCCCATCTCCTGCACACGAATTTTGCCTGCTAAGCTTAACACTTCGCCGGTCGACTCATCCCTGGGACGTCTGTCAATTAGTGACCGATCCGTTGAAAGCACCAAGTTTGAGTTGATCTTATACTCAAACTGTAACTTCCTGGCAGCATCATCAGCCATGATTTATCAGAAAACGGTGCAAGACAACAACCCTTATGCAACAAGAAATACGCGCTCAATTAATGCGAAAATGTCCAATGTCTTCCAAACGAGTTTATTCAGCCTAGAATCTTGCGTAAATGTCTTAGAGTTGAATTTCATTTTGTCTTATAATAGGCTTATAACTCTCTACTGCTTTTCTGCACGCAGTTTCTCGCTGCTGAGGTAATCTGCGGGTAATTCCTTCACTTAGTTTGTACACTTACATAATGTCCACTAGTTATTTCTAATAAGCAACATCTTTTTGCAATTTGGAGTCGCCCAGATAATTTCTCCTCTAATTTTTAGGGACAACCTCAGTTCGCGGACCAACCACTCGCCTGTTGTAGCCCTGATAAACTAATTCAGGAATTAGTTGTTGGTTAAATTTGTCCAAATATGTATGGTGTTGTGCAGGAACTGCAGTACCGATGGAGTGTTAGAATCGTGAGTCATTAGTTAGTCGTTTGGACTAGTCTGTAGAGTTGTAATGCCGGAGATAAATGATTATTATTCAGCTGTCTTTATGTGGTTGGCAGGATGATGCTCAGCGTCAACCTAACGATATTGATTTATTCATTTGAGTGCAAGCGTAAGCATGTTTATAGGCATGATTATGTGACTATATTATTTGTATTTGCAATACCACCGCGGCACTAGTGATGTGAAATAATTAATTCAGTGCACAGATGGAAAGCAATGTGTGAAGTCTTTAAACAAATGTCAAGGGTCTGTGGTGGGAGAATTTAGCACAACACAAGGCTCTTCATAAAAATATTTCAACCAGATTAGGGAATGAAAGAAGCCATAAAAGAAATATATGGTGCACATTGTTCTAGTCACAATTATTGGAAACTGGAGGGGTGCGCTGAGATCTTTTCATGGAAACTGAATATACTGGGACTATGCGGTAAGTGGCGACCAAAATTTACAGACGACTATTTTAAGTTAACCAGAATGAAGCTCTTTTGGTCACTCTCCAAGTATTCAATATACAGAGGTTCACCATGGTTCTCGTAACAAATGGGCATATCATTCCCTTTCGGGATTGAACAAAGGCAACAACCAGCCAATTGCAAGCGTGATTTGGCTGAAATCCTGCATGCACCGGTTTCTTAACAGTGCAGATGTTGCTTAAGTACCTAGAAAACTGCCAAAAATGGAAACAAGCGAAATGGGACTGTGGCAAATCGGTGACTAAACGGAAATGGCTAGGTTGTGCATCGTTCCAGTGTGGACAGTAAAATGCTCACGTAATGTCTAAGTTGTGGGAGTCTGAGGCTGGAATGCTGATAAATAATAGACCTACAGAAAATTAACATGATGTGATCTATATTTATCCCTGAATATACAAGCTTGCACCATTTTTACAGGTTTGAATGAATTTATATGAAAATTACCGGTTGCCTTGGGGCAAGTAGCTTTAATTGCTGGGATGTTAGTATTGCATACTAATGAAATTTGAGATGTCAACAAATTGACACTATAGACAATTGGAAGTATTGTCTTCGCATAAACAAAAGCCAGGGTTTGTATTAAAGTATCACTACAGATATCAATCCATGATGAATACCACCAGAAGATCAAGGTACCCGCCAACCTCAAAATGCATTACTGTATGGTGCCCGTAGGTGGCGTGCTTCCAGACGGCTAGTCCAAAGTTCTTATGAGAAGCCATAACCCGTGGGGTCAACTAGTCGTAAGGGGAGCGGACACCAACTGAAGACTGGGTGGTAGTCACGCAATATCACGAAGTGACAGAAGTTGTAAGCCGCGGAACACTGAACCCCCACCCAGTAATAATAATAATACTTATTTCACACGACATAGGTTACATGAATACAAACCAGGCTACAGGTTTGGTCATTTTGGTAATGAGAAGTGACTATTACATACAATGTTAAGCTGTACATTAGATGCCGTTATTCATACCATATAAGGGGCGGGTTGAAGTAGGCTCAGTTGGGATTTAGGGATTATTAGGTTATTGTTTGAATCTTCCAATATTCCTGAAGGTGGGGTAGGCATTACGGTCATGACCTTGGGATGTGTGCGTTCGTCATAAGGTTTTGATGGCATGGTGCACACTGATAAATGCGATTTCTAGGATTCCATTTGAATGCAGGACTGGTTAGGCAAACCTGAAAAGTTAAGCTGTGCATTAGGTACCGTTATTCATGACACAGTAGTTGAATAGTTAACTCGTTTTCCGTCACCAGGGCACACCGCTGGAGAGTCCCACGCTATGAAGAAGCAGCTATCCAGCACTCCCATGTTTTCAACGGTCCTCCAAATGATATCATCCCGCGATGAAAACTGTCAATATTGTGAAGATTGCCCGGAGAGTAAATAAACCTTGGAGCTGATACTTACATTGATATGTTAGTCACATTTTGGTTTTTATCAGTGACGGAAAGCTCGTGCAAGAATGTATGCACACGGTTTGTTATTTGCTATTCTTTAGTGAGTGCTAAACCATGGACTTTACTCCTTCTTATATCAGTTAAACTAGGAGAATGATGTTTGCTGAATATTACCTGATTTGTTTCAAACTCGGCATAAAAATGTAGCAGGTTTGTCTGAGTGCATCAAATGGATATCCAGGACTTTTGTCTATCAATTTGTGTTGCCACAACAACCTCGTGTTTGGTAAGCATGAGACGTTGCTGTTCTTTTTTGTCATGGATTCCAGGTCTTGATAATTAGAATGTTGTAGTCCAAAGGACATTGTCCCTTCCTCCACACTGTAGTTCACTGTTGTAAACCGAGCGAAGATACTCGACCTACGACGGGTAGTTCCAGCGCAGGACTCTTTATGTAAGAGTTTAATTTCATTTACAGCCAAGGTGACTTCCAAAGCTGAAGGTCTTGGCTACACTGAAAAAAAAGAAAAAGCAACAGGCAGAGAAAAAAAGGTAGGAGCTTAACATGTTTCTAAGTTCATCTACTTTCCGCACAATGCTAGTGGTTGCGTGTGCTTTGTCTATTTAACATTTAAGACTCCGTTTTTCATATATTTTACAAGTTTAGGACTTCATTTTGTGTTTATTATTGTGGTAAGATGTGGCTGTATGTTATTAATTAGGAATTGCTTAATTATGAGGGAGTGTCCTTGGCGTGCCGAATGACTGTTCAGATAGATGTTGCGGGAGTCTCATTTAGACTATAAGGGGGCCTCAAATACAAAGCGCTGTAGAGAGTGGCGATGTTACGCTCACCTAGCTGGCCTCCATCTGTGCACCATGGGTAGATAAAAAACATGGCTTTACGAACACTTAATCCTGCACCAAAACATGATGCCCATATATGGATGACACCTCCACTACTGTTGAAGTCGGAACATATCGACAATGTCCTCACACATGCGAACTCAGTAGGAGGTACAATCCAATTCACTCATGAGTTGGAAAATGAACGGAGGAGATTACCTATGTTGGACTGCAGGATAAGACGAAAAACAGATGGTGGTTTGGATACTACCATCTACAGAAAACCAACACATTCCAACAGGTATCTGGACCTCAAGTCATCCCATCCAATGTCATTTAAGGCAGCTTTGGTCAAATGTCTAAATGATAGAGCTAGAAAACTGACTATTCAATGCAAAAACCTAAACAAGGAACAGAAACAAAGAGGTGCTAACAGTTGATAATTATCCCATACAGTTTATCAAGAAATTTCTACGGACTCAATAAACGAGATAGATAAATTAAAACGGGTAAGAATAATATGGACAACACGAGTAGAAAGGAGTTCACAGCCCCCATTGCGTTGCTTTATAGGGAGGGAACACGAGAAAGTTCGCGCAAAATCCTAAAGAAAGCTGGAATTAAGGTGGCATTTAAACCTACAAACCCACTGAGCCATAAGCTTTGCCGGCTTAAGTATCCGATAGGACCAATTAAGTCATATCCCCTGCAATGACTCCGACTTAAGTCAAGTATATGGGTCACACCAGTCAACCGACCCAGATCATTTAATAAAGCGATCCTAGGAATTTAGCTAAATATAGAATGATGGACTTTGAATTGACTGATTATCCAGAAAAACGAACCCGCCTATTGCAGTGCATGCACTGACACACAATCACACAATGCTATGGGTAAAATAAAAGCACTGTACTATGGGTGAATATAATTATATGAAAATTCAAGTTGATTACAGAGTCTTTTTTCATCGAATCAACACGCAACCCATGTAGCAGAAACGACACGACACCCACGTATGCCAGAGATATGGAAAATTTTACCACCGATAAGGAAGAAGAATATGAGGTGACAGGACTACAAAAATCAGTTGCCGAAACCACTGTGATTGAATTGGTAGGATAATGAGCGGTAATAATTTGCGCTCGAAACGACATCAATTAAACAATAGTGTATCACTTTGCGTTATAAATCAGATATACAAATCGAATGTGCTGCACTCATGTTCAGGTAACTGTGCCCGTACTAATGTCTTTTTTGATACACACAGTGTGGTAGTCTAATGATAACTTTGGTAACAAAGTAATGAATGGTTGTGAAATCACGGCAAAAGGTAGCATGATTTCGAACATACCACGTTATAGATAAAGCTTGTATGCATTTGCCGGTTCCACGCAGCTCAATGGAACTGGTGCATTATTAAGAACAAAGTTGTTTTAAGGACGTTTGGCCATTCAACTTTCTTTTTTCTTCTTGATGTTTTAATAGATGTATTTTGTGCTATCGACTATGAATGAGGCAGCACTCAAACGAGGAAGTGGCATATTGACTGAAATCATTGGATCCTCGAATGGGCAAACAGAAGCTTAGTAGCGCGGTATATGCTGGCAACTCGGCGCGAAATTACTCTTCGAAGTGTTTGCTGTTTATTGCTGACGCAGTTCATATTTTACTTTCAGAAAAATGAAATATGCATTGGATGACGGTTGAAGAACAGAAAAGTTGCAAACCTTGTGATATCTGTCTGCGGTTGTGCATCGGAATGAGTAATTTCCTCCACACTTCAGCGTCCTTCATACAGTGGTCTTACTAAGGCAAGTCTAGTTTACATCGAAAAATACC